TGATCAGTCCTGGGGGGGGGCGGAAAGCATACATGCAGACCATAAGAGCGACCGACAGCTACTGACGGCAGTTCTATGTCTCCTTCGACTCTGTGACTTATAGTCCAGCTCGCCAGCAGAGATCACAGAAGGCGAAGAGAGGACAGACAGCACAGAGGCCCAGGCCACAGACAGCCAAGAAGCGGAAGAGGAGGAACCATCAACAGAATCAAAGGCTGGCGATCAGGAGCAGAGTCAGGACTGTACAGATGGCAGAAAAGAGGAACAGAAGCGTGTTTTCAAAATGGCATTCGTGAAGTCCTCTTAACTCAGGGACAGAGGTGGGGAGGGGGGTTTAATCACTCCACTCATTTTGTATATTTCTTTCGTCCGGACAGTTTCACCAAATGATTTGGCCATGTCTTCAGTGTTTTTTTTTCCCCCCTTTTTTCATTTAAAGTAAAATACACAGCTTGGTTGTTCTTGTTCCAATAAAGAGTAAAGCTTGCCTGTACTTTGGAAAGTAACTTCCCTTTTTCCAAACTATTGTGGCCTGGATCTCAAAAAGGGGAAAACTGCTTAATAGTTTTTTAAAACTTTTTTTGTAACTTATTTTTAAACCTTTCTCTGAAAACAAGTGAGGAATATTTTGTAATGGATTAATGTGCTTGGTATCCATTGCATTTAACGGAACAGGGTGGAATTAGCATAATATGCCTTTTAAATTCTCTTTGAAGTCCAGAGTGGAGAATAACAAATGTATGAAGCACCAGCTGAATATCAATAAAAATGGAAAAACCACAGCTCTCTGTGGGAAATCTTTGGTGGATTTCTACAGGGGGAGGACCAACCCTCATTTATTGCAAAATGAGCAGAAGAGAGGATGCACTTGCCCCAACTTGGGGTCATGGGTCACTTTGCCCCCTGCTGTCAGAAAGATGTAGATTGATGTAGGTATTTCCAACAGCAAGATCGTCATGTCTTGATATTCTACTGTAATAAGATTTCACTTGGGGTTTGGGGGTGGTGTGGTCACATCCTTTGGGCCACATCTGCATTCAGCTCCCGTCATGTCAGATTATGCAAACTCAGCCACTGCTAATACAGTTAATGGGCAATAAGCACATGAGTGGTTGACTTTGATGTACCTTGGTGGTACTGGAAAGACTCAAGATATTGCCCAGAGAAGTCAGGGAGCGTGCTGATTGGAGGAGCAAAATTTGCCCTTAACCAATTAAATTATGCTGAGCTGTTGCAGTGATCATTTTTCCCCCTTTTTTTTAATGCCGGTAGCACTGCTGAGAGTTTTGAAATCATACATAATTTCATGTGCCCTGCATTTACATATACAAATTACAAAGAAATCGCTCCAGCTTATTTCTAAATGCTAACAATTATTTAGTTGTGCAATGAATAGGACAATGTATTTCTACAATGGCTGTTGGAGGAAATGAGGTTAAGACACCAGTACTGTGCGAGTTACAATCTGATCAGTGAAAAGGAAAAACAAGGCGGCTAGAAATTCCTGTAAATATACCAACACATGATTACAACTTACCTTCACAGAGGAGAATATAGATACACGAAATTAAAAATGCTCTTTTAAATGAAAAACCTTTGAACTTAAGAAGTGCCTCAAAGTTTTTCTCTGCTACCTTTTTGTATTGAAAGTTCACCTCTTTAGTCTGCTAAAGTTAGAATCCCTTTTCAAATAATAGAATGAAGTGTATAGAGGTCAGGGCAGTCGATAAAATGTTCAAAGGGAATCCTTGGAACTATGATGTGGAAATTTGCACACTCCCTTTATACCTAGTTAGTAGAAGAAAAGGTTAAATGAAAAGGCAATCTTTTTTTTTTTTTAAATTCAAGATCATCCAGCCAATCAGTTAAGTTTGCATAATGCCAACTGTAATCAGTAGGATCCTTTTGGATTCAAACTAAGATTTTATCTGGACCTCAGGACCCATGTCCTTGATCGTGAAACCAATGCATGCTGAGCTTTTGACATTTAACACAACAAAGCAGAACTTCATACCTAAACCGGAGGTAACAAAAAACATTCTTCATTTGATTCAGATAAATCCTAAAACAACACAATAATACTGAGTAATTGTAATTTGTAAAAGGTTATATATATATGCACACACCTCAATTAAAATTCAAGTTTAACACAAAACGGACGATTTTAAGATCAAAATATTTGTCTAAGACAAGTGTTCTTAACCTGAACTCCTCTTAGGGGTCCATGAACTTGGATTGATAAATAGCATTTTCTTCAACTATGAATGTACACTCACCTAAAGGATTATTAGGAACACCTGTCCAATTTCTCATTAATGCAATTATCTAATCAACCAATCACATGGCAGTTGCTTCAATGCATTTAGGGGTGTGGTCCTGGTCAAGACAATCTC